GGGAACCATTGGGTGTTGAGCTTTTCTAAAAGTATATCGTTTCTATACAGAAATACAAAGAGATAGTACGGTGAAGTTGTTTTTTTTTCTTCTCAAAACAGTGTTTCTGTTTTAACTAATGTATGTATCTTGTTTGAAATGAATCTACTGCTCGAAGCCGCCTGCAATTTCACATGTCTTTAGTGTGACTCAGTGAATAACGCAAGTCTTGCTCCAAACTCTGAAGTCACCAAGGGCCTGAGAAAAAAAAATTCAATAATGTCATTAATTAGAAACCAAGTGAAAAATTGCAGCATACCAGGCATTTGAAGTGGAACCAGAATTACTTGTCTTGTGGTTACTCTTCTGATACAGGTTTCATTTTCCTCAATTAAACCTGGCTTTATAAGTGCATTAATGATAGCATAACTATTTGGTAATATGATGACAGGTGAAGGTATTGATTTAATCACAAGCATGAATTTGGCTTTTAAATCTGCTGCCATAAATTCAGACTGCAAAAGAAGCGTGGCATCACATGGAGGGAGGAACCCCAAGGTGCATTGTGAGGTCTGAAGTGTTAGATCCCAAACGTTTGCACATGCAGGAATGTAATCATGGTAAAAGAAATTGCAAATGCATGAAAAACACATGAAAATCCATAGCATAGATGTCTACAAAAGGTGATGTCTACATCTATAGACATCTATGTCATTGATGTCTATAACAGCAGCCAGGACAGAGATGGTAACAGCAGAATCTTCCTCTTTGGTGCCTTAGTTGTCTTTGGAAAGGGACCTGCAGCCCAGATACCTGGAGAGCCAAAGGAAGGAGAGGTACCAACCCCTTTGCCCATGTAAATCAGCATCTCTTCCCGGGCTACTCTGGGTTGTTCCAAATGAGGATCTGTCCTGGCTGGATAGAAGGTCCTGGTTAAAGCTGGATTGAAAACCCTGGGCTGGTGGCTTGGTTTTTGCACTAAGGGTGAAGGGAGTAGTATTTTCTTTTTTTTTTTGATCAGAAGTGGAAAACTTCCCTGGCTGTGGGGCTAAGCTGTTGTTTCTGCCAGAGTGAAAAATACCAAGGCAAAAGTAATTGGGCTGGAGAGAGCATTAGATAGGCCATGAGATGTAGAAACTGGATTATTTGTTTTATCTTGGTGCAGTGGTCATTCACCTGATAACATTAGTTTCTCTTAAAACATAATTAACATTTTATTCCACTAAGCATCATTGTATATTAGATGTTAGTGGGACACAGCACAGTATGTTGTAAATACTGGGTTTGGTGCCTAGATGGCTAATTCAGTGCTAATTCCATTATCAAAGGTTGCAGAGGAAGAATGTCCTAAAAGGTCTATTCCTCATGAAATCATCTCCTGTAGTTATTCAGATGTGACTAATGATGCATCTTTTGCAGAAACTTTCATTTATTTATTTGGTATGTCCCCTTATTGCTCTTAAGAAATGTTAGAAACAGAACAAAAAAAGGTAGAACCAGTTTTCTGCGCTTTTATTTGCTTCCTGATTAATTTTGGTCTCAGGAAAGCAAAAATGTACATTAGCAACTTCACAGCTTGTTACATCTTCTGTTTGCTTTCATCACACATGGCTGTTTTCATGAATGGTGAACATAAACATAAATGATGTAAGATCCTTCTTTGATTTTGAGTGTCTTGCTGAGAAATTAATCCATACGTGCAGATTACTTGTAAAGTAACATGCGAACAATTCACGATGTACATCCACCCTTTGTAGTGTCAAGGCAGGGATTTGAACAAGACTTCTGCCTGCTTACATAAGAAACATGGGAGATTACAACATTATATATCTTGACTCTTACGTGAATTTGTTTTTTTACCTGTTGTACTCCAAGTGGAAGTGCTCTGTGGCTTGGCTTCTATTAGGGATGCTGCCCTTGTAGAAGCAGTGACCTTTGAAAAGCAAGTCTCAAGTAATCCTTTTATTTTCCTGAGATCATATAGCACAGTATCCAGTTGCAGGCTTTTAAGATGGAATGATTGCAGACTTTGTCTGCTTGCCTGGATTGGATTACATTTTGTTTGACAAAGAAAACTCTAAAATACTTATACCTTCCTTCCTTCAGTTCAGAGCATCGTAATCTCCGTACGTGGAGAATGCAGAGTAGCTGCTGTATCATCCCAGCCCGCTGGGATTTATTGAATTTACTTAATTGCCCTCTATCTCATGGTTACACTTTAACGCTTCTTTTGAAGGAGATTCAAAAAGGATACAGTTACTCCTTTTCTAATTTACTTTGAGAGTTGGGTTACTCTTTTTCTTATCTTCCTTCCTTTTCCCGGTAGAGCAGAGCATTCTGCAGAGCCGTGATTGAACGTGTTAGAGACTTGCATGGTGAGAGATTTAAGTCCATGAAGCTGTTAACTAGCAAAGCTTTTTACGTACTGCTTTTTAACGAAGATGCTCTGTTTTAGGGGAGTAGGGGGTTTGACAGGCACTTTTGGATGGCTGGTGGTGCATTTTGTGTTGTATTGTGCTGATGCACATGAACAAGAGCTAAACTCCCCTGAACCTCCCAGGGAAGGATTTTGCAGCAGAGTTCAGGAGCACTTGCATCATTCTCGTTTTTAAAGCACTTGTGAGCCTCGGTCCTATAAACACTCCAGGAAACCTCAATAAAGTGGATGAAAAGTCCATTATTTGGTCAGGCAACCTTGACACTGAGAATTGCGTGATTTTCACCTTCCTGAGAAGTGTTCAATACCAGGGAGGGCTGAGGTCTCCCCTCGCTGCACTTCTCAAGTTTGCTTTTAACTAATAGGAGTTTAAAAAGGTTTAGTGCTCAGCTCTGACTTTCTCCATCCTGCCAGACCTCTGCTGCCAGCTCTGCAAGCCTGGGATAGGCATTGCAGGGATTTGGGGGTGTTGGAGAACGGTCCCAGAGGGGCACAGGTCCCTTTTTCTGAGTACTATGGTGTCTCCATCCCCTATATATAACATCTGAGTGGCTCATGATAAGACGTGATCAGTATCATCTCGTTAACTAGGGTTGTAGAATTGCCTGTTATTTGGCACCACCACCCCACAGTGAGACTTGTTTTCTGATGCCTCTGAAGACCATGTAGCTCCCTTTGCGTTAGAAGGGAAGTTCATCGCATTTTAACGGAGTTCACTACCCGCTGTGTCTTTGGGCTAACACATCTGACCATACGCACGTGCACGGACCGTATATTTCACGTGCAGAATTCAACTTGCTGTGCACATGCATGCACAACACATATTTAGGCACCGGGATTAATTAATGGAAAGTCCTATACCAGATTAGCAGTTTGAATCTAGGGTGTTATTCGCCTTCACATCGGCCAAAAAATTGTGGAGGACATCAGCCAAGGGTAAGGTGACTTTGGCAGATGAAAAATTGTTGGTGATCGCTGTGCAGTGCCTACATAAATAACATGATCATCATTCAAATCAAGGTGGTTTTTCCTTGCTCAGTGGAGCAGTTGTGAGCACGGTGGTAGATGCACAGCTAAAAAGCGAGCGTTGTCTGTGCAGCTTGATGCCAGCTCTCCAGCAGAAAACAATATGGAAATGGCCAACACCTTTCAGGATCCTCCAAGAGCCAAGTGGGGGAGAGATTAGTAAACAGGAGTGAGAAAAACTGGGGCTGAAAAGAGACTGAGGTGCAGGACCTTGCTTGAAAAGAGAAAGCTCGCTGCTAGCCTTCAGTCCAGGGATAATTGTCCAGAGCTCTTCCCTTACTCTTTTTGGCTGAAGATCAGACCTGGCAAAATTAATTTGTGTCTTTATTTTACTGAATGGGTTGGGTTTTTTTAGTATTATGATAATTAGCTAGTCCTGCATATAGAAGTCTTTTTTTTTTTTTTTTGAAGATAAAATGTGGTCATTTGCTACTGCTCTTTGCACTCAGTTCCCCATATGGCCACAAAGGTCTTTGCTGTGGGTCTCCCCAGCCCCTCGGTAATCCTTGTCGAGAGCTGGCCTGTCCAGAGGGCGAGTCGAAGGCCCTTGGCCAGGCGTGGGCTGATTTTTCCTCTGGAGAAGCTGCTCTTGGCTCTGTAAATTAGAGACTGAATTTCTCCCGTCCCCTTTTCACTCAGTGTTGTTTCCTAATCTCTGGCATGAAATACCTGGGGTGTTAGGGTTGCATTGCCCATAGCAACTTTTGCTAGGGAGCTGCCAGGGGTGGCAGCAACCGAGAGACTTGAAAAGTCTCTGCAGATATCGGACTGAAAACAAAGGATCAAGCCTGTTTCTGATGCACATGTGTGCTGCAAAGGGCAGATAACCTTTCAGGGCTGCATCTTAAAATAGTAAGCAGAGCTGGTATTGCTGCTTTCATTCTGCAGCTTCCCTAAGCACGCCATGAACTTCTGAGCTGTGATTGCCGTTAAAATCTTTACAGTTGCCATTTGCAAGGAATTAGCATCACTATGTGAGCCATAATACCCCAGCGATATTTATGGAGAGCAATTGAATTATAAAGGTTGTAATGGCCTTGCTACCCTGTTGCTCGGTTCTGGAAGGAGGGGGCTGAAAGATGTCTAGGCTTTAACTACTACACAAGCCAAAAAATAAGTAGTTAAGGAGCCTATGTAACCTAAGGTCTTCCGTAAAATGCATGCCTTCAAAGCAGCTGAAAAAAAGCAATATGTAATCCATATGTAATTCTGCTGTGACAACATGGCCCCATGACACACTTGAAAAGGCAAGTTATGCGGTTGATGTGTTTGAAAAGTGCTTGAAAAGACAAGATTGATGTGTAAGCTGCTGATGGTAGTTCAAGTTGTTACTTTTCTCGGGTGGGCGATGCTGGTCAGATCCTCAGCTGCTGAAAATCTGCGTGAATCCAGTTGTTAAAAATGGGAAATGCCACTGGGGTGAAAACAGACCCTGCTGATCTGCAGTAATTGAGGATCACCTTCCGTTGGAGGATGCGATGACGAGTTTGACTTCGGCAGGAGTAGACCATCTTACTAACCATGGTTTTTGTCTGTTCTGTTTTCTCCTGTCTTGCAGCACCTTCTCCAGTCAGTAGTGTGAAAAAAGGGAAGATAACTAAAAATAGCATCTCCCTTTCCTGGCAGGAGCCAGATCGACCCAACGGCATCATCCTGGAATACGAAATCAAATATTTTGAAAAGGTGTGACGGACTGATTGCTGAGCATCCCAAGTACCTTCTCTTTACTGTCCTCTTCTTTTAGTTGTAATTATTTGAGTCATGGAAGGGAATGGAGTGATTTTATGCATAAATCAATGTCAGATTGATTTTGCAGTAAATGATTAGGAAGACTTGAAATGAGGGTGTTGTTTTCCATTAGTGTGCCACTTCTCTTGAACAAATACGTTAAATCTGCGTGTCAGATTCCTCTCCGGCCTTATCACATTAAGATAGAGCCTGCTCATTTGTTAAAAATAGGAGGGGTTGGGGATCAAGCATTCATCTCCTCCCAGAAACATCAGGCTATCCCTTGCCTTTGGTATTTCAGTTTCTCACTCGGTTTTGCATCCGCGGTGTAAGGAGAGGAGAAAGGTTTTGCAGAGAGAATATCTGCTCTCATGTGAAGAAGGGCATCCTGGCTTAAAAGCTTGCCTGGGTTTTCCAGCCCTTGCTCTCGGTCTAATGGAAAACACTCTCTCTTCCTACAAAGCTTGCCTCGCCTAGTCTCCATTTCAAATGGCAACTTGTTCTCTTCCTGCAAAATTAATGCAGTTTAAATGAAAATGGTAACAAATGCAGTTTGTCTAAGTAGCATCTTTTGAGCGATGCAGCTGAGTGTAGATTTCCAAAAATCAGGTTTGCAAGAGTTGACTGAATAGCAGTTTCTTGCCTTAGCTGGGATTGTAAGGTGTTCTTTTTTCTTCTGAAACAGCCAGGCTTTCTACATGAAAACAAGAGGAAAATTGAGTCACAGTTCTCTTTTTTGGGGGGTTGAATTTCTATTTTATGGAAGAAGATCTTCTATTAGTTCTGTCTATGACCCAGGTGAAGCCACTCAACACAAACTAGGACTGGGTCCTTACTCCTCCTCTCTCCCTTCTCTAACCATGGGAGAGACCTGCTCAAGCAACCCATGCAAACAGGGGAAAGAATTTCAGAAATCTGCATCAGGATAAAATCAACATTATTTTTGCAGATGAGGGAGCTTGGGCAAGGGCACAAGATGTGTGAGTGGCTTAAGTAGGGCTGAGGTTTTCAAAAAGATTAAAGCACTAAGCAAGAATCGGGAGATGCTGTTGCTGGAAATAATCCATTACTGATTCTTTTATTATCTTGTTGGAATGACTGTTGTGGCACATTGAATCCTTACCATGGAGTGGCCTGGGAAGCTTAGCCTCTAGAAACCTTGATAATGAGCAAATAATTAAAGCAAAAAAATCGATATATTTGTTTGTTTTACTTAGTTTGTTTTCAGAGAAATCAGGGTGGGGTGTTCAAATGTTGTATTTGCGGTCCAGAACTAGTCTCAAATAGCTTCAGTAAATAGTTCTTCAAGTGCAAGTCCTTCACGGGGAGGTAGCTACAGCCAGTCCGAGTTTATGCTGTCTGGATTTCTTTCTTTCAGGCTGATAGCAAAGCTTAGTGTTTTCTGTAGGAAAGCTCAAGTGTTTAAATGTTCGCAGAAGCCAACAGTGTATTGAAAACCTAACTGGGCTGACATAAAAGCAAAGATGTGAACTAATATTCACTTATTGCTTTTTAACTAGTCATTGAGTTAGGTTTGGGATGACATCCTTAATCCTTCTTGTTTGTTGCTGCTGTCATTTATATTCTCTTAGTTTTCAGCCCTTTGTAAGGGAAAATTCACAGAGTTTATTTCAAAGGAATAAGAGTGATCTATATTAAATATTTTGGAATAGTGAGTTTTGTCAGATTGCATTCCTTTAAGAGAAATTGCTCCTTAACAAGAAAAAAAAAAGGTGCATATATATATATATATACATACACACACACACATTTCTCCAAAACAGGCTTCACTGAGAAAATCTGTAATCCTACACTTGTAGATTCCCAGGGCCTTATCCAGGCATATTACTGTCTATGGAAAGCTGCCCATTAAATTAAAAAGAAAAATCAGTTCAGATCATAAGAGATATGCAGAAATCTTGGTAGGAATTATTAAGAACTCCTGTTTACCTCATAATAATTTGGATCTAAGAGGATATGGTGAATGAAAAGCAGTTTCCAAGTTTGTAGTCCTTAATTTATGAGCTCTTGTCTAGATTTGTGTTACAGTAAATAATTCTAAGAGTAATTACCAAGCATTTGAGCGAAATTTTAATCAAAGAACTGAAACTCTTTCGCATTAGAAACTGATGTAAATGAAGATTTATTTCAGCAAATTATCTCCAAGTTCGTTGCTTCAGAAGAACAATGCAAAATTAGGTATTTTCCTGTAGTTTTGGTTTATTATTCCCTTCCCAAGGTCTAATTCGTGGTTCTAGAAATACCAGCATAAAGTTGTAGAATGTATAATATGTTATTCTTTTTTAAGCCTAATTACATTACTGGGAAATTGTTTTGGTATAAATTAAGATTCCTTTCTAAAGCAATGGGACTGTTTTCGTCTTCCCTGTGCCTTGGGATTGATCTTTGTAGGATGAACATTTCCATTGCTCCGGGACATGTACATCCTGAGCAATGGAAAGCTGCTCCTACTGCAGATGCTGGTTTGGTCCCCATATTGTCATTTATGGGTGGAAAGTCCCTGTGCTCTGTTTCATACCTCCTAGAGTCATTCATTATAAAAGAGAAAATCAGATCTCACGTTTTGTACTGCAGAAAGGGCCTTCGCGGGGGGTTCGGGGAAGAGATCCTCAAAAATGCTTATTTCAGTCATGCTTTGTAACGTTGCTGTGGGGGTTGTTAAGAGTCTGTCTTCTCTGAGAGCCACTATTTTTGTATTTGAACTTTGTGGTTTTTGGGGGGATGGGAAAAGGACCAGGAGACGAGCTACACCATCATCAAATCCAAAGAGACGACAATTACGGCAGATGGCTTGAAACCAGGGTCAGCGTACATCTTCCAGATCCGAGCCCGGACAGCTGCCGGCTACGGTGGCTTCAGCCGAAGATTTGAGTTTGAAACCAGCCCAGTGTGTAAGTCCTTTTAATTACTGTCAGCCGTGTCTCTGAAATGGTTACTAGGAATGAGTCAAGGGATCGATACCTTTGCAGAGAGCTCTTCCTTGTGCTGGCCTCATCCCTTAATTTTGGCAACATCAGGCACATCATGACCGTGCACTAGACAGGCTAACGCATCTGTCCTTGCTTCCTCGACTCACTTGGTGAGGCGGAAGGTGAAGTCAGGAGGTCTTCGGGCTCCAGAAATTCATAGCGTTCCCTGCTTAGAAAAATCCTATATTTATGAGAGCTGATGCAAGAGAGGACAAGGCCTCTCTCTCAGGAGGGACAGAAGGAATGAGACCTGCTCCTCCACACCTCTTAATGGCTGTCTGCAGAGGATGCTGAGCTCTCTCAAATATCTGCATCTGGGGGAAAAAAACCCTGAAATGGTGCCTCTCTGCAAAGGGGAGAACTGAACCAGCGTTAGCGTCCTTTGGTGTAAGTTCCTGTCAAGTTGAAAGATGGTTTCTGTTGGCATTCAATGCCACAGCCTCAAGGAAAGGAGTTTGACTTGTGATCAGAAATGGGAAAAATGTGCACTGCAGGTGCTGGACTTTTGCTTGGCTTGTTACAAATGTGTGGGGTTTGAAATTTTTTTTTTTTTTAATGAATCTGATCATCCAGTTCTGGATTCTGGAGCAGATTCTGTGGCAGCCTGAACTCCTGAGGCACGCAGAGGCTCAGCTGCTCTTTCCCCTGTGTCCCTGTGTTCAGGCACAGCTGTGGGGAAATTCTTTTTGTCCCGAATACCAAATTTTTGCAGAGTTGTCAAAGATAATTTTCTCCCTCAGAAAATATGTCCTCTCTATTTCAGTTTGTACAACTGTCATTTATTAATTTTTTTCTACTGTTTGCATGGAAGAGAAATTTTGTGGTAGAAATACTCTGTTCATTCCTGTGGGAAAGAGCCAATTTTCTGTATGTTTTCCTTGGAAATTCAAATTCGTCAATACTTTGATTACTGTTACTCCAGTTCATTTAAAATTCATCATCTTTGAGAAGAAGATGCCAAGTTATCTTTTCGATGCATGCTACCTTTGAAGCTGTAATAGATTTTAAAGGAATCATTATACATGTGCAGATGTAGCTGTGGAGCCAGTGATTGAACTAATACAGTGCAAATTGCACCACAATGCAAACATTAATGCAATAAGAATGGTCTATTTAATGTATTTCTTATTGTATTAACCATTAATTGTGCCCTATAAGTAGCAACAAAATCATGTTACGCCGAAAATTATTCTATATTATACTAAGGAAATTTTTCTTGCTACTGGAAAGTTTCTAGTTTAGAGTCATTTGAGTAATAGTGTTCCAGACTATTAATAAATAATACATGAAATATATGCACATTTGATCCAGTGCCATTGGTACCTACAATCCTGGTCCAAAAATAATGGCACTTCCATAAAGCCCATTGTGTAAGTATCTGTGTTAATCTGGATTTTTTGAGGACATCATGTGGTAATATCTTTAAGCACTTTAAACCCCTTGAGTCATTTAGTCACACCTGCACCCCAGTCTTTTTAGCACTTTAAAGGCAGAGGAGTAGGTACTTCTCTGATGCTAAGGAGCTGCCAGCATAGTCAGAGGAATACCTACTGCATGGTCCCCAGTTTGGGAGCTGGGAAATGTTCCGTTGTTGGACATGAGCTCTGGCTGAAGCAGGACTTCACGGGATGTTTAAATGCTTGGTAGAATTGAAATGCAACGTAAGCCTCAGTGTCTTGCAAAATGCAGCTCTGTTTGACATTTAAAACCTTATAAAAAGTGTTGTGGGTTTGGTTTTTTTTTTCCCCCCAAGGCCCTATATAAAGTCAATATTAGTGCTGGGAGTGTGACCAGACTCCCACTGCTTTCCTGAACATCCCAGAGAATCTGAAAGCAAGCACAGTTCGAAATCTCACTGCTATATTGGAGTTCAGATCTGAACCTCTTGTTAGAGGCAAAGCAAATTATTTTGATTCAAGCACAAATGAAAACCTTTCAGTGACTGTTGTGAGAATCAAAAACAGCCTCCAAAATTGTTTGGACCGAACAACAGGTTTTGTTTCCAGTTCGCAAGGTTTCTGTGAAGTTATTTTTAATACACTTGGAGAAAATATGAAAAAACAGCCTGAGAAATGAAATGGGGGGAAGCCGTAACTTGTTTTGGACTTTTCTCTTTTTCCAAATTTGGGGTTTTTTTTACGTACTGCTGCCTGCCTGTGCAATTCTGCAAAGTGCTGCGATGCAGCCAGGGCTACATTTTTCAGTGGAAGTTTTTTTATTTGGGTGGAAGCTGTTGCTGGGTGTATCCCCTTGCTGCTGTCCTCGTTTCCGAATGCCACCAAGCTCATCTAGCCCTGATAAAACTAACCTTGCCGAAAGCTGGTTTTCGGCTTGATTGGTGAGCTAATCCAGCTGGTCAGCCAGGTGGGAGAGGGAACATATTGCCAAGTCGAGGAGGGGTGATGCAGGTTTCCCCCCTGGCTTCAAATGGCAGCAAGGTCCCAGCTCGGCTTAGGAATTCAGGCTTTTTAGCTGCCATAGATCACAGCAGGATTTATCTCATTTCCCTATCCCTCGAGCTGTGCAAAAAAACACCAGTCACAGCTTAATGTTCTCCTTTAAATGTTTTTCTTTTTAATTATTTTGTCAAGAAAGCAATAAAACATCATCTTAAGGAGCCTCCATAAATTCGTGAGGCTAATAAAATCACTAGATGATGGCACGAATTTGGAGCAGTTAACATTAAATATTTAATGTATCAGGGCCAATCCTTCTGAAATCATTTACGGTGCTGTAGCAGGTCCGCACCGCTCACCATTGAGCACTGGAGAGCTCCTGTACGAAGAGCTACTTGAAACCCATTGCAGATCAATGTTTAATGCCATGCCTTTTCGTCTTTCTTTTCTTTTAACAATTAATATGGGACTATATTCAGTTATTTTATAGCCTCCATAAAGTTAATCCTGTGCTAAGGACCCCTTTTTACTTTAATCATTTAGTTAAAGGCTTCTTGGGTGGATGAAGCTTCATCCGGGGCTGGCACGACGGTAGGAGCTATAATGAGGTTTTTCCCCGCACAGCAGCGGTGCCTACACCAGGGAGCTGGTTTTGCAGGGAGGAAGCCAGATTTGTACCCCGGGGTGGTTAAATATATGCAGCTAAAGAGGCTGGCAGCAGAGAGGGCAGGGTGAGGAGGCTTTGGTTTCTGCTTGGGGAGGTCCACATGCAAACCCCTGGGGAGAGATGGGCTCCTTCCCCTGCAGTGCAAAGCAAATAAACAAGATACAAGTGGTGTTAGCATTTCCATCTTACAGGCTGCAAGAGCTTGCTCACCTGCTCTTACTTAACCTGTGGCAAAACTCAGTTCTCGAACAGCTTTCCTGACCTTTCTGCTGGTATCTTTAGCACAGGACTTGTCACCTGCCTTTTGGCAGGAGGGCTGGTTGCAAGGCATGGGCTGGGAGAGTTCTGCTTCCCTTGGCCGATAAAAAGACCAGCCAGCGTATGTGTCTCAGCAAATCTCTGTTTTACAGAAGGCACCTTCTGGCCATGTGATATAGATGCCACAAGGAGTTAGGTTTTAATTGTGTATAGCTTCTTGAAGTGCAGGTAATGCTGTTTATCTCGGAGATCTTGCTCATGTCTCTTAACAGTAGCATTCCATAAATGTTCTCTCTGTAAATGGGAACCTGTTGGGTTTTCATCTTTTATCTGTGTGGTAATGCAGCTAACGCAGGAAGACAAACTTGAGTTCTCAAACTCAAAGGCTGCGTTCTGCATTACTTTGGTTTCTGAATTCAGCGATGAGATGCGATTTTGTTGGGTTTTTGGCTTGGGTTTTGCATGTGTGTTTGGTTTCTTTCCACCCATTCCCCTTCCAAAGAAGAAACAGACAGCAAAGGGGGAAAACGCAAACCGTAAAAGAAGAAACGAGCTGGTAAGACTTGAACCTTGCTGGCAGCCTCACTAGAAAGATTCATGTGAGTGCTGACTATCATTTTAACCTTAATCTCCATTTTCTGTTTCTCATCTCAGCAGTAGCTGCATCCAGCGACCAGAGCCAGATTCCTATAATTGTTGTGTCTGTAACAGTGGGAGTCATTCTGCTGGCTGTTGTTATCGGTTTCCTTCTCAGCGGAAGGTAAGAGAAGAAGCTGTGTATTTATAGTTCTCCAACTTTTGTAATAACTTTTATCTGACCGGCTGATTAGCGCAATTTAGGTGAAAGCAGCATGTGAACAGAGCTGTCGAGTGGTAGCTCTGTATAACAGTGTGAGGGTGGGCTGATTGATCTGTTTGGACAGGCGGGAATGGCAAAGGCTCATGTATTTCACTTCTCAATGATTTTCATCTCTGTATAGACTGGCCCTGATTATTCAACTTGATTCTCACCGGAGTGTTGTCACATTCCTTTAAAAATAAGCAGAACATGTTATTACAGGTAAAATATCCCGAAGCCCATCTGTTTGCACTCAGAGCTCGCAATGGGCTTTGCTCACAGAGAAAACTTGATTTTAGGAAAACACTTGCAAAGAAAAAGAGAAGAAACCCAGCTGAATGGCCAAACGCCCCAAGTTTTGGTCAGGTCTGGGTTTCATTTTTCATGTGTAGGACACTAATGTGTTCCCCACGCGCTAGTAAATTATACAGAGAGATCCCCCCACAGAGGGAGACACTCAGCTTCAAACCATCAAGCGATCCCATTGACTTCTCATGTGCTTAAACATAGGCAAGTGATGAAAGCCTGAGCTATACCATCTTTGACAACTCTAATGGAAGTTGATGGTACTTGTTGGTGAACAAGGGATTGTGGTATTGGGGGAAAATCTGGCTTGTATCAGGATCAGTTTGTACTGCAGCACTAAATTTGTGTAGCAGCCAGCACACAAGGCAGTTTTTTCATATACTACATGTGTATTAGTACATTTTTTTAATGGCAGTAGTCAAATGATGCAACATCCTAAGGCTAAATTTATTTTCAGTGCAAAGTAAACATTTATGCTTCTAAGGTACCCATCAGCCCACTGTTGCTTTCACGATACAGGTCTGTCTTAAGCTCGGGTCTAGCAAGCTGGCTGTAAATTACCGGATATTGTAAGTGTTAAGAGTAGTTACAAGATACTCACAGAGGAATTGCGCTGATACTGAATGTATTGGCTGAGGGTCTTATTTCCCAGAGGAGGTAGGGTATCAGCCTGCGAATGCGATGTGGTGAAATCCAGCCAGGCTGAGCAGCTCTGTCCCCAGGCTTACGGCAACCATGGAAGAACACAGTTATTTCCTGTCTTAAAAGGTAAGTGTGTTCATCTCCGCTCAAGGTCAGAGACTGACAGACTCTTCCAGCTCAGCCGTTCGAGCTCCTGTTGTCTGCTTTGAGTGACCTGTTGGGCTTAAAAATGGGAAAGTAAATGCTCCTGTCTGCACAAGAAGCATGCAGCGGCGTTGGGGGGTGAATGGCTACAGGCCATTCACACCAGGGGCTACAGGAAAGCTGTAGCCAAAAAGACTTGGCTCTGAACACTATAGGCAGGAGTTCAAGTCTGTCTTTAAAGGCTGGAGGTTTTGAGTCAAATTCCCTCCTCAAACAGAGTGGGGGGATGCGGACCTTGGCCTCCCCCAGCCTGGATGCATGCTTGTATCGATGCAAACAGGAGGATGCACGTGTGGCTGTAGGGAAGCTACGGATGTAGCCAGGCACCTCTGCAAGGAGGAGTCTGATGGGGTGAATTGCAGGTGGAGGGAAGTGGCCATAAGGAATCGCAACTGTGTGGCAGCCAGCAGCTCTTGCTCTTCCCACAGTCACTGGCAAGTGCTCGGGACCCCATTGGGGAGGACGTGCCTTTGCAGGTCTCCTTTCTGCTGCTACCCTCTCTGGTCCAAGCAAGCAGTTGCAAAGCCTGAGCCATTTGTCAGCAATTCTCATTAGTTATGTGTTTCTGTCCTTTGCGCTAATGGGGTTTCCAGGATGTGCTTCCTCTTAGTTCTTTATCTCTTGGCATGTTTATAAAAGCCCTTGTCTCCTTTGGCTAGAGTTTCATTGCCACCTCTGCTGCTGCCTTGATCCTCCTACCTTGTACTCACACCTCTCTCCGTGGACCCTGGGGCAGCTGCAGGTTCCCAGGAGCTTCTCCATGGTGTCACGCTGGATGTATGGGAAGGGGCAGGCACAGGGAGCTGAGCTCTTGGTCCTTCTTTATCTTTTCAACCCTTCCCCTAAACTGGGAAGAACCCAGTCCCTCAGCTGGAGGTGGTGGAGAAGCCTCCAGCATGAAGGTTTGGTCAATAGTTAGAGAATTGGCTTCAAAACCATGGAGCTTCTCAGCCGCTTTGAGTTCCTATGAATTTTAAAGCCCGTCTAGTGTGTTGAGTGACTCGTGAGAACATAAAAATAAACCCCATAAGCCCAGAAAGCTGGCAGCCAATTTGAAATTAAACAAAGCAAAACAAAAAAATTGCTTCTGTTTGGAAGAAGCAGAAATGCTGCTGAAATGTGTCAGTCATGCTGCTTTGCCTTGCATATGATTTTGAGACAATTCGCGGAGTGACTCTCCTGCTGTGACACTGCAGGGACGATAAATGCTTTCCAAGTCATGGGATAATCCCTTTCTGAAGCAGTTAACCTGTTTCTGGAAGACACTTTCCTGTATCTTTGGAGTGGTTATGTTGTTCCAGTGCCTGGTTCCAGGGGGTTAAATTTCCTTTCCTAATTCTTTCCCATACTTGCTTTTAGAAAAACAGACATTTTGAACTCCAGGAGTTGCTCCAGCTGGAATCACCACTGCTTCCATGCCGAGTAAGCTGTGCAAAGCCCAGGCTCTGTCTTTTCTGCTAATGTAGGAGAGCAGGTATGGCCCAGCAGCAAAGCTAAGGAGAAAAACCCTCTTGCTCTGTAGGAGTGAGGAGATAGCCTGGCCAGCTCCTGCAAACAGGCTCCTCATTGCTGGCTCCGTGCTGCTCCCAGGCTCCCTGGGAGGCCCTGGGCACCTCAGAATTAGGATATTCCCCCCTAGGATGCTGTATGGCATCTGCGCCTATCCTCCCAAATGCCAGGCTGGAGCAAGCAGGAGCTCGAGTGCAGTCCTGCAGTAGTAGAAGGGGATGTCCTCCTGCTCTCGGCAGCTCGGAAGGTAATTTCCCAGCCGTAGGACTCAGAAGTTTGCTGGGCTCTGCAGGGTCTTTTTTTCTGCTAGGTCCCTGGAGGCAGAAGTTTCCACACCTCTTCCCCCTTTTTTGCTTTCAAGTATCTCTGCAGTTTTCTTGCTTCTTTTGAACGAATGTAAATAACAGCTTGGCGTTTCCCATTGGCAGCTGGCCCTAAACCAAAGGTCAGCTGAACGGTAGTCACGGTGGCATTTCCACATGCCAACGTCCATCTGTGGAAATGCGCTTTGTGTCTGAAGCTGAAGGTTCCTGGGAATTTGAAACTCAATGCACTTTGCCCTGAACAATTAAGCTGCGTTTCAGAGCTGATTTACTTGCAGATGCTTGGGAAAACTCTTTCTGTAAATAATGCGTCCTCTGACCAAGGTCATAAATGCCACCAAGCAAAATAGCTGATCACTTTTTTAAGTTATCCCACTCTTTGCATCAAGGGCATATTAATAATATAACAATCAGGATTACAAATCAAAGAGATTCACTAAATCAGACCGTAGTTGTCTCAGCAAAAAAAGAGAAGTGGATTGAAAATCTATTATTAAACCAGCTACAAGCATTGAATTAAAGAACACGGAGTTGTTATCTTTGTTTTGTTAGGGTTATGTGTTCTTCTCAAAAGCGCAATGCATTTTACGGATAGAGCAAGGCTATAAATTTTGCTTTCCTAACAATGCTTGAATTAGATGTTGCTTGGCATCGTTGTTCCTAATTGAGGTATATATTAAACCAAAATCATTACAGACTTTTGTTTACAGTCTGTATTGGACCATGCCAGTCGCAAAGATCTTTATGCTCCATCTTGCAAGCAGCAATAAGATGCCACAGTCGTTGTGGCATCAGCCCCTTTCTTCCTACAAACCGAGGTAGGAAGCCAGGTTTGCATCAGCCTGGGAAGGAGACCCTCCAGAGCGGTGCCCCCTCTTTTGTCTTTCAAACTAAGCCCTGTTTGCAAAACTGATGGGGTCTTGGGGTGAGTCTTAAGACACTGCTGGTCCCTCCAGACCCCAAGCATTTGAGCTTTGTAGCACTAAACAATGGCATGGGCTTTTACAGAGTAAAATGGGAATGCTATTAGGTCAATGCTGAACATGTTTGCAAAAGCTGCTCAAAATAACTAAGAAGTGTACTGTGCATCTGCATTTATAGCCAGCTACGCATTATGGATGACCTTTCCATCTCGAATGATCTTTCAAAGAACCGGAGGGAGCTTTTTATAGAACTTAAAAATATATATATATATATTTGAAGCAACAAAAACTGCCCCTCACCCTGTGTCGTACATATATGGAAAGTCTCTTTCTGGCAAGGAACTAGCCTTCGAAAGACAAAGCAAAGACAAATCTTGCCACCTGGGTATTGGCAATTAGAGGCTTCTGCACCAGAGTATCCATCCTTGACCTTAGCTGATTTAGACTTTTAAATATCAGCCCCTGCGGTGGCAGAGGGCTACTTTCTGGACAGAAATATGTGCATCTTGTTAAAAAGTGACTTCCAGGGAGTAGAGAGGGCGAAAGGATTGTGGTGTATATCCTAGGTCCTGAGCCAGCGTTTGCAACCTTCCACAATGTGGAAGGTCAAAATGGATTAATTTTTCCACAATCTCCCCCCCCATCCTATTTTCCAAGATGTGTCAGGGCTTAAAATAGTTTGCTTTTTCGATATTTCCGTAGGAAACGGGACACAGTTTGTAGATAACGTTTTTCATAGAGAGAATTTTTCCAGCATGAGTCACAGTTTTTGTTAGTTGTGACTTTTTAAATGATTTTTATCTCTACATTCTTGCCTGCTCTTCCTTCTTCCTACAGGACATTGTCTCCTGTGATTTATAGCCACTTTATGATGCTGCCTGCTGCCAAATATTCCCTGCCATTCACCTGACAAGAGGAAGGATTTTGTTGGAGAAGCTATTGCTCTGCCAAGTCAAAATTCCCATCCACCAAGAGCAGGCACGGTCTGGTCCTGTTCCGGTCAAGGTTTTTACTA